GACGAAAGAGGGGGAGGCCTTCAACGAGATGGATTGATACGGTGGCTGCAATGATGAGCTCATGTATAGCAGGGATTGTGGGGCTGGCGCAGGATCGGGCAGTGTTTCGTTCTGCTGTGCATGGGGTCGCTATGAGTCGGAAACGACTTGACGGCACTTAACAACAACAACAACAGGTGGTGCAGATGGTTAATACACTTGGCTACTAACTGAAAGATTAGTGGCTGGAGTCCATCCAGAGGTACCTTGGAAGAAAGCCTTGATCATCTGCTTTCAAAATATCAGCGATTGAAAATCCTGACACATGTGCGATTGCCATGAGTTGGAATTGAGTCAGTGGTAACTGCTTTTTTTGTTTGGTCTTAAAGGAACTCTGGTAGCATAGTGCCTAAAGTATTTGACTGCTAACCAAAAGGCTAGCGGTTTAAACCCATCAGCCACTCCTCAGAAGGAGCGTTGGGCAATCTACTTCTGCAAAGATGTTGTTGTCGTGTGCCCTTGAGTCAGACCCAACTCATAACGACCCCTCCTTGGGTTTCCGAGGCAGTATCACTATAGAAGTAGATTGCCCCATCTTTCTTCTAAGGAGTGGCTGGTGGGTTTGAACCACTGGCCTTCTGGTTAGCAGTCAAGTGCTTTAGGCACTACACTACCAGAGCTCCCTCTGTAAAGATACCACCTCGGAAACCCAAGGAGGGGTCACTATGAGTTGGTTTCGACTTGATGGCAGTGAGTTTGGTTTTGGTTTTTAAAGGCTTATTAACTGTGTGGCTCTGTGTTGAAGTCTAGCCTTTTTTACTTTTATGGGTTTATAGCAAGATAATTTTCTTACAGATAGGTTGAGTTAGTCATGGTAATGCTATAATATCACAGGGATAATTGTGTTGTTTCTTGGGATAAAATAAGACCTTTTATGACTCACTTTTTACTCATTCTAGGTATATCTAAATATTCATACTCATTTGCTTATGTGTGTATGTATGTGTGTGTTTATCTGTTTTTCTGTCTATCTATCTATCGGGGGAGCTCTGGTAGTGTACTGCCTAAGGCACTTGACTGCTAACCAGAAGGCTGGCAGTTAAACCCATCAGCCACTCCTCGGAAGGAAGATGGGGCAATCTACTTCCGTAGAGATACTACCTCGGAAACCCAAGGAGGGGTCGCTATGAGTCGGGTCCGACTCGATGGCACATAACAACAACAACATCTATCTGTCGGAGCTCTGGTGGCCTGGTGCCTAAGACATTTGACTGCTAACCAGAATGCTGGCAGTTCAAACCTACCAGTCACTCCTTGGAAGGAAGATTGGGCAGTCT